CAATCACAGCCGAGCGTTCATCAAAGAATCCCATTATTTTGAATGGTGCCCATTGCTTGTCACTTGTTGCATGGAGGTCCACAAAGTACATCAGCCTTTTTAAAGGCACAATTTCTGATTTTTGGCCCCATACACTCCCCAACAAATATCAGGGCCGATCAAAAAGTAAAAACACAATGGGGGTAATTTGTTATAGCAATTGCGAGTGTTTGAACTTGCACAGAATATATTTGCACAAGATTTATGAAGCTAGTGTAATGTTGTTGATAAATGAGGTTTAATAGACTCCAGGAAAGAAGACTTCTAACTCCAGGCAAAAAGCTTAACTGTCGCATCTTGAAGAAGTGGTCATGGGGACTTCTTAAATTGTGATTGTTTTCTTAGGTGATGCTCCAGTTTCAGACAGCCCAGAACAAGTGCAGATGAAAACCGGTGCAAAAAAGGTGCAAAAAGCATGCAACTGAAAAAGTAGTGCAAGCTCTGATGAAAACAGGTGCAAAACACGTGCAGTTGGAAAAGTAGTGTAAGCTCAGGTCAAAACAGGGGCACATGTTGAAAGAGATTTGCACATAAAAAGAAATGATCTAAGAGGCTAAAACTGTCGTAATTGCTTTGATAAATTCCTCCCCATGTCTAATTTGAGATCTATTAGGGCTTGTTCACACCAGATACTGTGCATTCCGGTCCAATTCTGGCCAGAACGCACTGCATCGCATTGCGGCCGGCTCACTTTTTTGTGGGGCAGAAGGGGGCGTGGCTGTCCATTGAAGTGAATGGCATCGTAGCCACGCCCAACGGCCGCACGGGATCGCAAGGCACATTATGCCTGCGGTCCGGTCCAAACAAAATGCTGCAAGCACTATTTTGATCACACCGCAGGCATAATGTGGCGATGGTGCCATTCACTTCAATGGACCGCCACGCCCCCTTCTGCCCCATAACATAGTGAGCCGGCCGCAATGAGATGCAGTGCCTTCTGGCCAGAATTGGGCCGGAACGCACTGCATCTGGTGTGAACAAGCCCTTAGTGTGACTGAATGTTCATGTACCATGTTATAGAGGTGTCCTTTGCCAGAGCCGGATTTACCATTAGGCAGAGTAGGCATGTGCCTACAGGTGCCCTCCATAGAGGGGCGCCGTGCAGGTAACTACTTTGCCTAAGGCTCCAATCACACAAACGGGAACTTATCGAAACTGGAGTTTGCAAAAGGGCAGATGAGACACGATTTCTGATGGGCTCCTCGGGGCTGCTGAGCTTACAACCTAAAAGGGAAGGGACAAGTGATACAGGAGGTGATAGCTTTGTGGGGATGAATTGTCTGGGAAAGTGATAGTTCAGTGGTTAGGATGAGGCGGGATAGGCTTCCCTGAAGAGACAAGTCTCAGACAGAGTAGGAGATAGCTGGACAGGTTGGGGTAAGAAGTTACAAAGGATGGGACAGACCCTAGAGAAGTTTCTCTAGAGAAGTCTTAAATTGGACCTTAAAGTCTGCTATCCGAATTCCCCACAACATAAAAAAGCAGAGCATTTTTTTTTTGTTTTTTTTTTTACTCGTGTCCCTGCCTCCATTCCTGCCTAGGCAAGAATCACATGTCATCCTCCTGAGATACTGGCGTCACACATCCTGGGAGGTATCGGCTACCCTACAGACCAGGAGGATGCATTGAGTTCTGCGCTATTGGCAACCAGAACGAGACAGTTGGCTTCTGAGGACATACAAGAAGAAGATGGCAGCACAGGACGGGACCTGTAGGAGGAGAGTGGTGCGGGAGAAATGGATGACGCTGGATCCACTCAGATATATGCATAATAAAAAGAAATGTATGGCATAAGAATTGTATTTATTTGGGTGGGTGAGGTTCCCTTTAAAGTTCATGCGTGCTCAGTAATGTGTTATGTAACACTTCCAGGTATTTATAACATTCTCACAAACATCATCATTTGGTAACATGCACGTTACCACAACACACGCTAATGTGCATTGGTGCAATGCGGTTACATGCATTCTGAATGGCACCAATAGGTAGTACACTGCAGTGCGTTGATAAAAATGCTACAGGCACCTTGTTTTGGTGCGTTAATAATAAATGGGCTGCCTTAAGTCCATGCAGGTTTATGCACGGCATAACACATACAGGTGAAACTCGAATAATTAGAATACCGTGCAAAGTTCATTTATTTCACTAATGCAACTTAAAAGGTGAAACTAATATATGAGATAGACTCATTACATGCAAAGCAAGATAATTCAAGCCGTGATTTGTCATCATTGTGATGATTATGGCTTACAGCTCATGAAAACCCCAAGAACCCCAAATCCACAACCTCAAAAAAGTAGATTATTACATGCAATCAATAAAACAAGGATTGTACATAGAACAATATGGGACCTCTGAAAAGTACAAGCATGCATATGTACTCAGTACTTGGTTTGGGCCCCTTTTGCAGCACTTACTGCAATTACTTTTGCACGATATTCTAATTATTCGAGTTTCACCTGTATGCACTAATGCAGCACAATGGTGTGAACGGGCGCAAATATTGCCCTTGGTTGTACAGGCATCACCCAAGGTCATGATCTACTTTCTTGGAATGAGATGCTGGTACAGAAATACACAATCATGTATATCCTGGTGCCCGTTCAGTTCTTGGCTGTGTCTCCAAAATGTATGATACAGATCAGTCCCTGCTGCAGAATCTCACCTTGCTACATGGCTGCATTCTGATTACTGGGGCAGCGGAGACTGAGCACATGTTTCCTCCTACCTGCAGCAGAGTAATGACATCATCTGAGCTTGGACCAGGGGTAGGCAACCTTAACTCTCCAGCTGCAGTGAAAATACAAATCCTGTCATGCCTCTGCCTCTGGAAGTCATGCTTGTGGCTGCCAGCGTTTTGCAAAGCCTCATGGGACCTGTAGTACCACAACAGCTGGAATGCCAATGTTGCCTACCTCTGGCTTAAGCAAAGTTACTAGAATGGAGCCCAGGTATTGCTTTTTTTAATAAGAATTTCTGGAAAATGATATTGTTGCTGTACATTTTGATATGTCGGGAATGTATTATCTCAGACCTATAATGTTCCTTATATACTGGACAAATAGCAGGAGTTAGTTCTTTATTAGGTGAGGGATAATAGAAGAACAGATGGCCGTACTTATGTAGAGAGTTACTGTAAATTGTGCTCATCGATTTCACACTCCAGGGAGCCATTATCTGTGTAATACAATAATGTAAGCATGCGCTATAGAGAACCTGCTATTCTGAGGTCTATTCTCTGCATTTGCATCACCCATAGAGATTTATCTGCGAGTCTAGGCTGTGCAGTGATAGATTTGCATAAATGCGTCTGTTGTGCTGCTGATATCACCAGTTGCGCAATGACTTTAGTAAATCTTTGCAGCGTGGGATTGCAGAGCGCTGCTTTGGACAGTAGGTGGCGCTGGGGATGAGTAAATGAGAATACACAGGCATGACAGATGAGCGTTTGTCATCCTTAACCCTCCCATCACCAAACAGTTATGATTAATAGGCATCTGGTACAGCTCTGGTTGTAGCATCATCTGGAAATGATATCCAATTATTTCGTTATGGATTCGAAATTTTAAAAAAGTCACTTATTGAATCATGGATTTTATGTATAGCTGCCAAAGTTTTGCTGCTGAGTCAATGCTACTAAATCAGGGGTGGTCAACATCGGCCATCCAGCTGTGCTTTAACTACAAATCCCAACATGCCTCTAGGAGTCATGCCCGTAACTGTCAGTCTTGCAATGCCTCATGGGACTTGTAGTTCCGCAGCTGCTGGAGGGCCGAAGTTGCCCACCCCTGTGCCAGATGCATGCTGCATCCAGAGAAAACTGCATTTCCAGGGAGTAATCTCCAAAATGTGTGCTGGAATGGCATAGTTTACAGCATATAAAATATTTATATAGGGGCACTAGTGCATAGCTGGCCAATCTATATTAAACCCAACCCTGGGCTCATATTTGTAATGTTATCTTTAATCTGGCAGAATCACTCTTCCACACAAGATGTCCTCAGTCTCCTGATGTCCAGCATTACTCAGCAAGGAAGATTAAAGCAGAATTTCACCAAACATTTCAAGATAAAAATAAAGAGGCTTTTAAAACTTAAAATAAACCAGTTGTGCTGCAATATTCAACATAAGGTATGCCGCTGGGTCTCCCCCCCCCTCCTGAAACTTTCGGGCCCTCTGTCCATGACCGAATGCCTGACTTTTTAGAGGGGGTGACACCACAATGACTATCAGTCATTGTGGTGTCACCCCTCCAATGGTGTCACCAGGTTGCGGGCTGCACCACCCTTGTTACGCCACTGCTGCAGCACAACTGATTGGCTCCTAGCAGCATCCCTCCCTCCTCAGGTCTGAGCTCTGCTGAACATGGGATTTCAAGCAGCTGATTTAAAATGCACTTATACATTATTTTCCAACAAACCTGTCATTGTTGTTTTTTTAGATCTGCCCACTTTAATTATGTTCGGTTATAATAAGCTCCTGATTTGTGTGTGTACGTGTGTGTTGGTGTTGTCAATTGCCCTTTTATATTATATCCATCAACATTTATCTGTATCAATCCTACAAAAGACTTTACAGTATTGTGATGCCATATCATCAGTGACGTGCATGCCCATAATCAATGAGGTTATTTGTATTTTACAGTATAAGTCAAACATCCCATTACACTGCGGAGCGGAACTCTTACGAACATAACAACTGAATCAACAGATGCTGAAT